AAATTCCATGAAAATGAAACATTCATGGAAAAAACATGGAATAATAAACACGGATCAACATTTTTTATAGGGTATACTAACATCGAAATTCGAAAGTATCCGATCGACTTCCTCCTGAAATCCTGCATTCCTAACTTCTTCTGTCAAGAAACTTTGCAATTGGTAGCGTAATTGGGAATCAATTTGAAAATTCTCTGGTTGGAGTATTACCCATCGATAAAGAATATTCAATACCCTTATAATAACAATGATAATGATAATTATATATTTTGAATAAATTTACATGATGCATCAACTATTTATTATGATATGCCTACTTTTGTTGAGTGGATTTTAGCCTATTTTCGTCTAATGCATTATCTTTGAACTTGGTAATCATATCTTCCAGGAAATCACTTGAGCTGATCAAGAACACGTGACTTAGGATAAAACAATCAATAAATTCGCTGTCTGCAAAAAATAAATTAATAAATATATAAACTATATAATCACATACAACAATTAAAGTTTCAAACCTTGAAAGAGTACCTCGTTCATTTTCATCAACCAGCTTGGATAGCAATTGTTCAAGTGTTCCTACAATATGTGTACTAAAAATGTGATATATATTAGTGTATTGGTGTATTAGGTATTAGATAAGCGTTACTTTATTGGTACCAACCTTCCATCAGACACTTTCATAAGCAAAGCGCCATCACTCTGTGAATCATTAATACTTGATAATTTATTTAATGTTTTGTCGTCATTTTTTTGATCTGATTCCATATCAGCCGATCCGTGCTATTAAATGAGTTATGCATGTTAATTTTGATACTTTTTTTTTTCATCCGATAACATTCTAACTTTCGTAATTGATACGTGCTTACATGAAGGCGTGATAAGATATTGGGCAACTTTAACATACTACTCAGACTGGACTTTTTTTTAATACTTAAACTAGTTGAACTTTTTTATATCAAATATTAGCAAAAAATTATAATTATACATATGTATATATGTATATCAATTACCGTATTTTCCCAACATGTGTACCCGGGGATTGAACCTAGCTGCCGCACCAAATTTTCACGGATTGGGCCCGCATTACATAATTTTGGCCGGAATTAACTTTTTAA